ATCTTTATAACAGCAAATAGCCATCCTGGTATTTTAATTAGATGTAATGAAAAATGTTCTTTTTTCTTTCCTGGTTATATTTAAAATCCAGCCTGGCAAATATAAAAATAAAATTAAGTACCTGAAACTGGGGAAATTCTGATTCTTTGTATTAAGATTTTTGAATGCAATAGAATAGAGAGCTTTTTTAATTAAAGAAAATATTGAAATTGATAATTGAAATAATTATCATAAAGGACAACTATCCACTAAATCTTACTGAACCCACTTGTAAAGCTTTTGTGTCGTTTGCATGTTGCCTCTACCTGAAAGCCTCTCAGCTATATAATAATTAAAATTTAGGAAAAGTTCCTTTTGCCAATAGAAGCTGCCATCCAGGTACAGTCACATGCAGCTTTGTAACTATTTTTCCCCTCAAAATACTGTTAATAGCTGAAAACTTGAACATTTCTTCAGTCAGAAACACCCAGAGAGAAACAGTGACAAGTAGAAAACTTCTGTTCATTATTGTCTCAAAGAACAGTCCCAAGGGAGACAAGGCAGGTTTTAGGGAGCAAAACATCAATTTTATAGATGATTGTTATTTGAAACAACAGGCTCATCTTGAGCTCAAGATGAGCTTAGGCTCATCTGGTCCCAGGCAAGGCCACCCTTTGTCAGAACGATGTCCAAACCAGGAATTTCAGTAATTCAGCATCATCAGTGTAGATGACACATACTGTGGCAAAGGTCTAGAAGTGTTGGACAATGTCAGGTAGAATGGACAGAGGTCTAAATGTGTTTAATGTGGTCATGCAGGATAGCCAAAGATCTCTGTGTGGAACACTGTTTACACAGAGCTGGTCTCAGATTCCCAGCTGACTTTTCTTCTGTCAGGGTGCCTGACAAGGGCTTCAATATCTGCTATGTATAAATATATTGTGAAACCAAATACCATGAGGTATTAGAAAGGACAGACAGGAGGTGGGTTCAATAACAAACTGGAAAAAAATTAAAATGGAGACTTTACCTACCAACAATTCTCAGGTGTGAATTTCAGGAGAGGAGATGCCCAAGCAGCCCATTGGTCCTTTTGAAATGTAGTATCAGCTTCCAATAATGTAAGTGTCCTGCTTGAGTACTTGTTTTGTCACAAAACAGGATATGGATTTCAAAAGACTGATCTTGCCTTGTGTCTCATCAGGAGAGGACAGCCTTCCTGTCTTGAGCAACCACCAAGAGGCTTATCACAAGCAGTGTGTGGAGCAGAGCAGGGTGTGTGGACATGTTCTGGTGCTGTTTCATCAGTCTGAATAAGTTTGCCTTGCCCATAAAAAAAAGTCTAAGCAGTGATTAACATGTTGGATTTTACTTCTGTGATAATTTATTTTCAACTAACATGGAAGTATTGAAGGAATCCTGCAGCATTAGCTGTTGCATTATTGCTGCAGTTGTGCTGCTGACATTCGAACTGGTTTTACATTATAGTCTTTTTCTTTAGAAATGCTCATTGTAGCAAAGTCCCAGATGAACAGCTGTCCCTCCTCAATCAAAAAATGAGGCACAATCTCAAGGAATTAGCCCAGTGCCTAAGTGCATGCCTTTGAGAGTGGGGACTCTGTGCAGAGAAGACTTTTGGGAGTGGGGGGGGCTGGGAGATAGAGTAATAAATAGAAGCAATTTGTATGTGTGCATTTCCTGAGAGTAAAATCTTTGATGTTATTATTTGAGCAGTTTCCTTATTCCTCTGCAAGTCTGGGAATAAACCTTTATTGGGGAATTTTCTGCCATTATCCCCTCGTATTCATTACTCTGGTTGGCAGAAGAACAACCAGCCTGCATTTACGTCCTGATCTTAAACATGTTGTTAGCTGTTACGTGTCTCTCCAAGTGAGGGATCAGAGGCTTAGCTGTAAATATGAGGAAAGCTCAGGATAAAGCTGCGGATACAGACTGAAGCCGAGGTCACAGCTCAGTGAGGGCGATGCCGCGCGGGTTTTGTTGTTCACTCAGACCTTCTCCTGCCCTCTGCTGGCAGTTCCCTGTTACAGGGATGCCCTTACACTGTCCAGGGTTGGAGTTACCTGTGCCAGCCTGCTGCTTGCAGTCTGCTTAGCCAAACAGAATTGGAATTCTCGTCATTAATGAAATTCCTTGCCGCAGGTAACTGCTGTGCCCACTGCATTTGTAATGTTATATGAAGATGCATAAAGTATGGTAATTTTGGCCTTTGAAAATCATCCCAAGGTACAGGCTATCACCCAGGGATCAGTTATTCTGTCCTTCAAAACTATATTTCTGAAGGCAAGCAAGTTTCTGCCTTTTGGCAGGCATGCTGATTTGCAAAGTCAAGTACTTTAGTTAAGAAATACCAGCATTGAGGATGTCTGTGCTATTTTAATGCTACTCTTGCCATCTTGTGTTTGATGCCTGTATGTATTAGAATGCAGTTTTTCTTCACTGTTTTTTTTTTGGTGGGTTTGTTTTTTTCTTTCCCCATATTGGTAGATTGCATATGTAATGAACAGTAATTCCATGTATTTGTAGTTTCACCTGTGACATAGCCAAGTGTGGAGTGCTGTTTTCCAAAAAGCCTTCAGGTTTAGTTTTGTCTACTTTTCAGTTTCAGAAGAAATGAAGCAAGAAGCACTGATATCTTTGAACTTGGTTCAACTTTTATGCACTGAACGAATAAGGAAAGGGACCTAAAAGGAAAAAATTGTAATTGTAAGCACAGGCAAAATAAAGATTGTACAGACTGTTTCAATTTGGATACATTCTCATTTCTTAAATATGTGACATTACAGTCTTGATCATCTTTTAGTTTTTTCAGAATTGGGTTGAGATATTCAAATGCTTGAGAAAGCCAACCTGAAAAATTGTGCATCAGCTTTGGATAGCAATGGGGTTGTGAGCAAGGTTTTTAGATCCACTTCGACCAGTTGTGTTTGTGAAGAAATCTAAGTAGAGATGAGTTAGCTGTGATTTTATTGATAGGCATAATGGAATGCATTTTTGCTGACAGGCTTCTGAGGTAGTTATTGTAAGCCAGGAGAGTGATGAGAATCAGTGCAGGATTTTGTGAACATAGTTCATGGACATGAACTCTCTTCCCATTCCTCTCCATCCCTCCATTTATCCCTATTCTAGTTTCTGTACTTTAGGTTCCACCTCTCCATCTGAGTTACATCCTTTGCCACAGAAGACTTTACCCCGTGCTTCTGCTTGTTTCTTTCCCTTTCTCCAGCCTCCTTGTTCCCAAGCTCAGTCTTCTATCTTTGGGCTCTTGATCCATCGGAATTTCACATCCCCCTGCTGCCTCTAGCCTGAGTTGTAGGTTTCATGTTTGTTTGACTTTAAGATCACTGAAAGAGTTTCCACTGGAGCTGTAGAATACCTAGGCTGATTCACCTTCTTGGCTACTTATTGCAGACCTCTTCAAAGCAGTTACAAACCTTTGCTGTGGTTGCTTTACTGAGCTGCCACCTCTTTGTCTCTTCCTTCCTTGTCAAATCTGAAAATAAATGTCAGCCAAGCAAGCAAACAAGTGGACTAGTATGGAAATAGGATGAGTCTTTGGTAATAAATAAATAAATATGTATTTGACCCACAAATTTAGTTGTAATTAACCAGCTGGGAGCTGTAATCATATTTTTCCAGGGGCCTGGCTGCCTTCAGGTAGTCGCAGTCTGTGTGTGCTGAGGATTAGAGATGGTCTTTGAAGGTGCTGCTTGGGGAAAAAAATCAAGCTGTTACTGTAATGGGGGACAGCTGAGACCCTACCTTTGTCACCAGGCACCAGTGAGGCTGGCTTTCAGCCTTCTTACAGAACTGTGCATTTTTTAGAGAGGTACTTCCTATGCAAAATCCTGCAGCACCCTGCTTTTGGAAAGGAACCTGCAAGTATGATTTTCAGGAACATAGTTAGAGTTACAGTCTATGTACTTTTTCCATTTGTATTTATCTGATAAAATTAACAAGTGCAGTTTTCAGAGCAAAAGGAAGAGGACTTAATTAGAATTCAGCAACTCAGTAGGAAGCCCAGATAATGATTGCAAATGATGTAAACTGTGCTGTGAGAGGCTATGTCAGTGTGCACTGCAGCACTGCTCAGACCTCAGGAGATGCTGAGAGGGGAGGGCACTGGAGCCCTGTCAGCTGTGTTAAGAGGATACCATCCCCTGGCTGGTCTATCGAGGCACTCGGTGGCCTTACTCCTGCTGTTGCAGAAGGTCCATCTTGGGTCCCTGTGGTGCTTGTTGCAGGGCATGCAGGCAGGTGACCCCAAAGCACCTCGTGTGTCACACTCTGCCTTCCTCCCTCCTTAAACTGGGCTTTTCAGCTGCTCATGCTGTGCAAAGAACTGGGGTGTCTGGATCCAGGTACAAAACATCCTTGGGCAATCTCCTCCCAGACAAGTATCCTACTTTTAGATACCAACTCCAGGAGGAAACAAAATGTTTCCTGCCTGGGAAAGAGGGCAGGAGGGCTGCTGCTTCTGTAGCCTCATCCAGCAGTAATTGCTGCTTGTTGAAATGCTGAGCAAGCCGGGAAACTGGGGGGGCTGTGGTCAGCCATAAATATGAAGGCTGGGACTCCATGTAGCTGCTTACTGCTTTTCTCAACTACCTTTTTCTTTCTATCAAAAAAATTTAAAACTAGCTTATTAACAAAGATAAATGCATGTTAATTGCATCCTTATGGTTTTTCCTGAGGAAGTTTCAAGTTTTGAAACAAGCACTAACAGCATGCTTGTTTACTCTGAGAAGAGGAGTCAGGCATTTACACTGAGGAACCGTGCTTGGAGTTCAGCAGTAGGTGGGAGACTGTGCTCCAGAGGTACCCAAATCCCAGCTCGTTAACCCAAGGCATACAAGAGCAAAATTTGTTTTCTTATTGGAGTTGTTAAATGCAGTAGTTATGATTTCTTTTTGATAGATGATTTTAATTTCTTTTGGATCTTTCTTTACTTTTGCTAACAGCTTTTTAAGGCTTTTTGTTTTCCCTCCCTCTGTCTTCAGCTATTGATGGATTTCTGAAAACTGATGAAAGACAAAGACTGGCAAAGGAAAGAAGAGAAGAAAGGGAGAAATACCTTGGTAAGTTGGCAGGAGGTGGATGTATTATTTATATATATATGTTTTAATAGGCTTAGCTAACTAACATAGCATTTTTTGTGTTCAGAATTTTAAATCTTGTTGTTCCGTTTTTTCCTGGTCTTTATCACTTCTTTTAACTTAAATTATATGTCTTTCTGGATTTCCAGTCAAATATTTAATATTTTATATTTATAAGTTGACTTTCTTCTTTGATTTGTGTGCCTTTGAATATAGGTTTATTATGAAGATACTGCAGTCATGATCCTGGTTAGTGAAAATACCAAATAAGCCTTGAATAATACTCAGAATAATATGTAGGATGAGTTGGTAAAGCAACCTCAATTTTAATCTGTTCGGTTTTAGCCATATTGAAATATATAATAGAGTTAAGTACAGCATTAAAGTGTGTACTTTTCTGTAAGATGTAAAATGGTTAATCTTTCAGGAGAATGACAAACCACATTATTCAGTTCCTGAATAACATGAGTGATTTTGTTTCAGATTTTGTTTAAAACATGCAGTTATTTTTAATCTATTAATATGACTGGGGAAATGTAGAAAGAATTGTAAAATATACATGTAAAAAGTATATATATTTAAGGAGAGTAGGTGTATACCCAATTAAAATACACATAGATACGTGTGTGTGTGTGTATATATATATATACATAAATGAAATTTTCTGTTCAACATTGATTTGGACTTCCTATATCTCTCTCTGTATATAAAAAAGTGTTGAACAGTTAACTTCACTTCTCATTGTAATGAGAAAAGTCAGCAGCACTGTTCCTAGAGATAACCTGACAATACCTAGCAGAAGGAATTGTCAGTGTTTTATGATTTTTGTAAAATCTAAGATAAGCATATATTTTGCGGAAATGTCAACTAAACAAGTATGGGCACCTGTCAAAGAATCATAGGAAAATACTGTTTTACTTGCATTAAACAAACTGTTGACAATTTCTTTGCAAAGTCTGGGGCTTGAGACCACTGACTCAACATTTTTAATTACCATGGGCTTGATCAGCACGATTCCTTTTGGTAGTTCTGGTGAAAATCTGCTGTTCTTTAGCTCTTAATCTTGCCCGAGCTTCTGTCTATTTGGGACTTACTTCTCTTCCAGGTACACTCAATCTGGGCTATCTCTTCTTTCCTCCTGATAATCCTTTCTTTTCTGGGTCCCAAGAAAGTGATACGATGGTTAGATTGGGAAGGACTTGGAGTAGAAGAGATGAGAAGGAAACTGAAACATGGAGATATTGGGAGTGGTTGGCCCAGGTGATTTGGAAGGTGGTGTCTGCAGTTTTCTCCCAGACATCATATATGCCTCCTGGAAATATATTTCTTTAGAGTTAAGACCATTTCTGTAATGGGGAGCTTTGGATCTTGGTTACACTTTGACCATGAGAATTTTCTTCTAGAAGTTCAGATAAAAGCATCGTGTTCCCCCAAAGCTCAGATCTTTAAGCAGTCAGGTACTATGGAGCAATATGAAGTAAGCAACAAGAATTGTATGTGTGTCCATGATGACAGAATTGTTTACTTCTCTGTCCAGAATCAGTCCCAGGTTTCATCTACTTACTCAGAAGGTAATCTTAGCACAATCTCTGGACACTTCACTTTATTTTTGGTTTTTATGAACTCCAGCATGCTTTTTTCACCTGCTCTACCTGATGTGGCTAGCAGTTGGAATAATTAATGCCTGGTGACTTGTTATCCACTGTCTCTGAGGTGACTTTTTCTGTTGACTAGTCTCAACTTCATGCATTCAATCCAGATGCACTGCATCACTGACCTCATACCATCTGTCTTGAGTGGGGAGGATGAGTGGATCAGCTGTATTTCTAACAAGAATAAGCTAGGTGGTGTTCTGGAAAGCAGGCTGAATATGAGGAAGAAGTAATGTAGGATTCTGTATTCAAGGGAAAGAAATGGAATGTTGGAAAAGGATTTGGGTGTTGGGAGGACTCTGGCTTTCACCCAAGGGAGTGAGGATGGAGTGGGGCTGAGAGGGACTGAAAGTCACAGCTGTGGTTAAAGAGCCTGGGGCCAGGGACTGAGAGGAAAAGGCTGATCTGAGAAGAGGCATTTGGGATGGCTGGGCAAGAGCCTAGGAATGATGGGAAGATAAAATGAGAGAGAAGAGTGATGATATGCTGCACAAGGAAACAGGAGCTGAAGAAACACAGGCTGAATAAGTGAGCAGGAAGGACTAGCTCTTATATAAACAGTGTTAATTCTGCCTTTCCCTGACTTTCAAGTTCTTAGCCTGGCAATATTCCTTCTATATTGGCTTTATGTGTGTTGCTTTGTGGCACTACAGGCTTGTGTGTATATAGGCATGCTTACTGAACTCCTCTTTCCTGCCTTTTTATGGAATACACTTGCATGGGATTTTTCCTCTCAATTTGCCACGTTAATTCCTGCTACTTGTTCTCCTATGTACACCTGAAGCAACAGTCCAGTATGTATTGTTGCAGTCTGAGTTTCTGAAACATCAGGGTAATGCCCCATGAAGATTATTGCTCCAGTTGGAAAAAACAGTTGGGCAAAACCTCAGTAACAGAAGTAATTTTTTTTTCATGTGAAGAGGCAGAAGTGGGTAAAGATGTAGCACCAAATCATGAGCTGAAAGATGTATTTTTGAAACTTCATAGAAAACTTAGCATATGTTGTTTACATGTGTCTATTTTAAAGGCAGCTCCATAACAAGAAGGACAGTTTTAAAGAAGTCCCAAGGGCTTTTGCTTTAATATATATCACTAATTTCATTCAAAGCTTACTAGGAGCAGTATGTCTGAAAAATTAATTTGGCTTTAAGCTTCAGAGGGACTTGAAACAAAATAAATAAATAAAATTTGCCAAACTGTTCTGTACACTGTTTTTACATAGGTAGGGGGTACAAACTGACACCTTGTGTACAAGGGCTTCCCTATATATTTATTGAGCAAATTCCTTAGATGTACTAATAATTTCAGCACCTCTGGGCACTATATTTTTAATCTTAGTGGATTAAAACCATGTGTACTTGTATTTGTTATTTTACACTATTGTTTCACGTTACCAAGTAATTTTAAAATAGAAGAAAATTGGCATGATGTGAAATGCACCTTTTTGTCTGCACAAGCTGCTAGGGAGCAGCAGATCCTGGAGAAGGAAAGAAGAGCAAAACTTCAGTATGAAAAGCAAATGGAGGAGCGCTGGAGAAGACTGGAGGAACAGAGGCAGAGAGAGGAGCAGAAGAGAGCAGCTGTGGAAGAAAAACGGAGACAAAAGCTTAAAGAGGAGGAGGTGAGGTCCACTGGGAGGTGTATGGCAGCAGTGAACATGGCTGAATATTGACATGCATTAAATGATTGGGGGTGGGGGCAGGACTGAAGACATGTGAGCAATTACTGCAGGAACTGCAGACCACATCACCACAGCTCTAAGTAGTCTACCACTGTACAGCAAAAACACTTTCCAAAACAATTTTTTTTAAATTTTTGTCTGATCTTCTAGAATAGCCATCTACTATTGCTAACATATCTGGGACTCTGATTGTCAAATATAAAGCACCAGCCTTCTGGAAGGAAGTCTTTAAAAATGAATGTTTCCAAAAACGAAAAGATTTTTCTTACTGTTCTGTTTACTGCCCATGAAACAGAAGTGTTTGTGAAAATATGTTCTTCATTTTTCCTCAGTGACAGAAACTCAGAAACTTGTACTTAAAGCAGTGAAGAATCTAGGCTGTTTTCAAATTCTAACATAAAACAGAATCATATATTTTTAAGCATCTTTATGCCTTTCCTCTCTTCTATGCTCCCTGCTGAGATCATTTAAGGTTCTTTTTTTTGCTCTAGTGAGTCCAATTTCTGGTACAGTTCTCTGAATGCAGGGTGTGTGTGTATATCTCTGCATGACATTATGTGGAGAACACTAGCACTGCTACCCACAACTGATAAAGAATTAATGATTTTTGGAAAAGGGGGCAGTGGTTTAAAAAAAAAAAAAAAAGCCAGAAGAGAATATTTCCTCAATTGCTAGATAAGAAAAGCTTTAGAAATCCATTTTTCTGCCCCTATCCTTTCACCAAAATAACTTTGCAAAACAGGTAAAACACTTCTGCATGATTTCACAATAACATACAGCTGTTCACTGAATTTTTTGTTTTATTTTTCACTTTACTTGAAGAGAAGATTGTATCCTGTCATTCGTTGTTCAACTTTAACATACTCATTGTGGCTTCTATGTAATGGCTGAGAATTAATTTTAAAATATTTTGTCATGTGGTTTGTTTAAAATTCTTTTAAGAAAAATGGGAGAAAGCAGAAACAAAGGGTAGGAGGGTTCTATCTTGTGATAACAGCATTGAAGTCATGAGCTCCTTCCCCATCATTTTCTGCTGTAATAACCTTTTGCAGCTAAGCAAAATCGATTCCCTTTGTGAGGGTTGTAAGGGAAAGGGGCAAGTACAAAAACGTCCAAAACCCTGTCCTCAAAATTTTCAGCAGAGCAGGACAGAAAGGTGGAGAGATGTAGGAAGAGCAAGTATCTGCCAGCTTTCCCTGCATTCATGGTCTGCCTTTGCTGAAGAAACGAGAGCAGAGTTGCTGGATGTGAGAGGCTGTGACAGACCCAAAGCATCTGTTTAGTGAGTGACCCCATCTCCAGTTTTAACACCAGTTTACACTGGCTGGGTACTAGAGTACCCATTTTACTTGCTCCTCAGGTGTCTGAAATGACAAGTAGATTTTCTTCCTTGCTCTCTGCCTTACTGGTTGTCCTTTATATTTTCCCTGAAATATTTTGCTTGTTTTTTTAACAGAGCAGAAAGTAGTGCACATTCATGATAGGAAGAGGTTATATAAATCTCTCTCTACAAAATATTATTGTTGCATCTGAGTCTGAGAGGAATAGATCTTAGAAAACTGATGGGGACTTGTTGGCTCCTGTATCAGAGCATCCTCTGCTTGACTCTTTTGCTTGCAAAGGACTTCTTAAAGAGGTGGCTAAAATTTTATTTCTTTTGCTTGCTTTTCCCCCCTCTACAATGCCAGACAAGAGATGGTGGTTTTGAAGTCTCTCTTGGTAGGAATTAAGGTATTCTATCAGAGTTCTTTGGGGCAGCTGGAGCTTGTTGCAGAGCATAGTGAAAGTGTCAGATTCTTCAGAAGGAACTGAATAAATAATGTTTACAAATTATTCTGTGTACATTGACTGCATCTTTCTTATCTACAGAGGTCTTCAGTATCTCTGCCCTTCCCTTTGTATTACTTTTAAAGCTGCCTACTTCTTTTAATAAAGTAGTCTTTGATCCTTGAGGAAAGCAATGTGTTGTTCTACAGAAGTGATTTAAAAGTTTCTTTTAACAGGGAACTGGACAAAAGTAAAGCTAGTCCTTTTTCAGTTGGAATAATTTTTTCTTGAACTTCCATGTGACTTGGAAATACTTTGTGAATAGATATCTAGCTGAACACAGCTTATTGGGAAGAGATTGTTTTGGTGCATGCACGCTATTTGTTACATTTATAAAAAGTATGCACTTAGACATGAGAGTGAAAAGCTCTCAAGATGTTGTAGCTTTATTTACTTACTCTACTCCACTCCAAAGATGAAGCCAACTGATATTGTCAGGAAACCTTGAGCTACTTACATACAGTGCTATATATAAAGTAAGGAGGAAGAGATGGTTTGGGGCTCTTTCAGATGTTTGTCTTGCAGGTATAAGGAGATTGGTTTAGAATTATTTGTACAAATTATTTTAAGTCATAATACTTGAAACATTTTTTCCCTTGTCACATCTGTGTTATATTTACACAGAGAAAAGGAGAGAACTTAGTTGTAAGAAAACAAGTCATTTGACTGAGTTTTGAGGGATGGGTTTGTATTTTTATTCAGACAGTACAAGTGCTTATTCTCTTGCTGAGGCCAAGGAAAGCTTGCATGAGTAACTGGATTTTGGAAAGTAATGTATATTTTAGATGCTAGCAGTAGATGGCTCTCTTATGGTTTTTTTTTCATTTTTAGTTTAACCTACATGCAGTGCTTGTGCATTATAGGGTTTTTTGTCCGAAACCTCACTATATCTTGAGAGCAGACATTGTTTCCTCTGTCTCTAGCTGTTAAAGTTCCCAAATGAGATCACATGCATAGTCTGATATGTTGTCAAGAAGGTGCTTCATCTATAACATAGACTGGAAGGGTTTTCCACATTGCTGATGAATGAAAGCTTTGTCTTGTGGTTTAGTTTTAGTCGTGGAACAAATTATTAATGTAGGAGTTGTTTATGCTATGCTTGCTTATGTCTTATTATTTTCTTTGGCTTTTTAGTTTTGTGCCAACTTAAAACGTTTGTTAATAACTATCCTTTCTTTGTGAAAAGCAGCCTTCATATTGTTCTTTATGTAACCTGTATCTGCAGAGGTTTTGTGACTTTAATTATATTCTATAGGGCTCTAATGAAAGGCTCTTTGCAAATGAAAATGAATAATCCTCTCCAACTAATATCACTGAAGATTTCAACCTCAGATTGTAGGTAGCAGGGGCTTTCAGATGTGTATGAAACGTCATTTAATTTCTTTAATCTATTTCGGCATGCATTTTATTCTTGAAACAACTTTGATAGTAGGTGGTATAAGTGTATTCTTTGGTTTGCAATTATAGAATATTGCTTACTCCAAGCATCATTAAATAACCCCAAACAAGACAGCAAACAGAAATAATTGAAACATGAATGCTTTAATCTTATCTTTTTTGATTAATGAATAACAATGTTAATTAGGAATGGGAAAAAATGGTTCTGTGTAAGAGTATGCTTTAATGAGAAGGAAATGGGAGGGTGATTTTACTTGGTAAAGAGTGTGGGTAGAAGGATTGATTGGAGCATGCTGCATCGTAGAAGAAAATAGTGAAAAGAAGCACACTGCAGAGAAGAAGTGGTGATGAAATATATGAGGTTTGGAAAGACTAAGAAAAGGGAATCAAACAGAATTAAGTTAGAGAGGTGGGAAGCTAAAAGTAAAAAAACAATGTAATGCAAAGCCTGCACACACAGGATTTAAATATGAAACTTGTATCATCAAGTAGTAAGAGAAGAAAGAAAGACTAGCAAACTAAAGCAGAGGGCTGACTTCAGATTCCAGAGAGTGGAAGATTGTTCAATTTTCACAGGCACGATGTGTGCAAGAAGCAAACGGGGTATTCAGGGCTGTGGGGGGTTTCTGTGCTCTTGCAGAAGAGGCTGCGCTTGAGCCTTGTGATGCGTCGTTCGTTTGCTCTGTAGGGAGAAGGAAAGAGGCAGAGCTCTCATTTTCATGCCTGCCTGGACACTGATGGCACTGAGTAGACAGAGGAGGGGGATGAAGGGGGGAGGGAGGGCAGGGAAGCAGCTGCCTGCTCTCAGTGGTCTTTGAATGATGTTACCTGATAGACCGTGGGCTCACAACACAACTGAGAGATCTTCCTGGAGACAGCAGCAGAAATTGTAACAGCAGGGTGGATCACCTGGTCAAAAGGTAACAGGGATAGGAGAGCTGGGAATGATAGAGGATGGAAGAATTTCCTTTTTTCACTCTTTGTATAGAGAGTAATAGAATATTTTATAGTGCAAGTGATTTGTAATAAAATTAGAAGAAAGCTTAAAGATTAAAAGGTAGTGGCTTGCACTTGATACTCATGGGTAACTGCTAGCTGGGTTGGATGAGGTGGAAAAAATGAGCTCAGAAATACATTACTGCAAATCATGGTAGTAGAAGAGATTCTTCAAAGATGTGGAAGAGGCAAAAGTATATTTTAGATATATAGATGATTGCACATCTGGCAATGTAGAAAGTCAATGACTGAGGTCAGAAGCCCGGGAAAGTAAGACAAAGTTTACAGGTACGTTTATAAAAGTGTGGGGATTACTGGAGGTGCCTGATGTTAGGGTCTGGTGTGCTAAAGGAGCTCCATCAGAGACAACTGGCTCACCACCAGTGCAGAGCCTGAAGGAAACACACTTGAACAAAGACTGAAATTTTTTGGTAAAATAGTTCAGGAAAGGCAGACCAAAGGCATTAATTAGTGAGAGAAAGTAATCTGGCCAAGAGATGTATGAAGGGTTTTTCACACTATTTATCTGAGCTGCCAAAACATATATGAGATAGAGCAGGGGATTGATAAAAATCAAAATGGGTATGATGTAATCACAAAAGCCTGCAGGATCCAGTTTGAAGTGGAAAAGAGTAGGAGTTTTATACTAGACCCAACGGACATAGCAAAGGTAATAAGGAATAGCACCAAAAATACTAATAGGATCAAAGGGCTAAAACTCGCTGAGGCAGGAGCTGGAGGCAACAAGAGTAGACTTATCTTTCACAGTAGGGGTTGGGCTGCTGAAATGTGAGGGTGAGGAGGTTGCCAGATGCAATGAATGAGGTACTGGGAGGAGGAAAGGAAGAGGCTGTTAGATGATGGAATTGTGGGTGGGGAAGAAGCACATTTTATCTGCTTGAAAGGAGGAAAAGAAAAGGTGCAGGGATCATTGCCACTATAATAAATCACTGAGAAACTAGCAGAGGGAGGAGGTGGGAATGAAACTCGGTGGAGGTCTTTGATAGTCAGGAGGTGATGGAGAGGGAATAAAGTGACCATACATAGCTGTAAGTTAGAGGTCGAGCAAGATTTGGGGAGAGAAAAAATTAATTTCATTCTTCCTCCTGTGAAAATCCTAACTCATGGAGAAGAACATGAGCATAGCGAGGGGAAATAAAGCAAATCTTGGAGCAGTATGATGTAGGCATGCACTAAAATAAATACACAGAGAAGAAAAAAAAATTATAAGGTCTTAAATGCCTAGACTTAAGGAACATAATAGAAGAAAGGAGGGAGTTTTTGTAAAAATAAATAAATAAGTAGGGCATCCTGCAAAGTAACCTACTTTGGGTTTGAAGTGATCATTTATCTGAGTGACTAGGTGGAGCCACTGGCATTGCAGCAATTTAACTGTGCTCAGAAAGGGATGGGAAAGAACCCTGATGTCTGCATAGACAAGAAGGAGTTAATGCTTGTCGAGCATTATTCTTATACAAATTAAGTCCAGAGCACAGCAGCAGCCTCACCAGCAGGAGCAGATGCTAGGCAGTGATGCAACCTGTGTTATTTACTTAGGCCTCTGTAGTGACCTCAGTGGCTTGCAGACAAAGGATACACATATCTGGAGGTAGGTAGCACGCTGATACCTTCTTTATTCAGTTCTTTTTCTTTTACTGTGAGCCAGCTCCTGTAATCATCTTGCGTGGAGCAACAGGGGGACTGTGTATTTTTAGCATGGTTTCAGAAGGCGGGGGAAGGAAGCCCCTGAAGAACTGACTGAGATTTGTGTCTGGGTTTGTACCCAAATCACCAGGAACGTTTAGAAGCCATGATGCGCCGGTCCCTCGAACGCAGCCAGCAGCTGGAACAGAAGCAGAAGCGATGGTCGTGGGGAGGAGCACTGGCGGCAGGCTCAGGAGGCAGAGATGGTGAGTGAAACAGGCTGCCTGCATTGCAGATCTGGAAGTGCAAAATGCATGAGACTGTGGAGATAGTAAGTATGATGGGTTTATAGTTAGGGTGGTACCCTAGGGGCTGCTGCCTTGGGGCGTGAATAAGTGCTTTGTAATTGCTTGTCGGGCTTCCTCTCCCTACTACCTTCTGTGGAGACAGGTTCCTCCTAACTTTAGGAATGCAGATCATTTTAATAGAGTAACCAGAATCTGTTTGGAGGATGCTAAATGCTAAAATTAAAATTGATGCACTGTCTCCCTTATTAGCTTCTTACACATTATCTTTCTGTGCACACAGTTAGCAAGTTTAATATTCACCAAAGGACTGAGTGCTGTCTAAGGCTTGCAGAAGATGATCTGTTTTTGTTTGGTACTTCTAAAAACCCGATGGGAATTTCTAGATGAGTATGCAGCATGTGCAGTTTAAAATAGTTTGGGCTTTTTCTCCACGTACATTCTGTTACTGCTATTTTTGCTTTGACTTCAGAGGAAATTCTTTTTATTACATAATGAGTCATGTGCTGCTTTTATATTTCAGAATGTTTTTTCTTTTAAATCATACAATTTATTTGAATTTATCAGGTTTGAATAAACTTATGTTATAGGGAAAAACACCCGTGTTTGGGTGTTGATGAAATATAGCAATTACTCTCTTTCAAACAGTGTGTAAGTATACTTAACTTTAAAAAGACTAACTGTTTCATATCATAGTTTTCATGATACATCATTTTAAAAGCCAGGAAATTAAATGTATATAACAATGAAAAGAAGTCTTTTGAGAAAGAAACCAGTTTTCTTTGTGATGCAGTTTGTGCTTAATTCCAGCTCCCCCAACTTATACAGTAATTTCTTTCACCTCTTTTTGCTCTGATTTCTCTGCTGTATAGGTGAATCAGAAAATACCCCACCCCCTGTTCTAGGTTTAGCTGCCAACACCCTTCCTCCAGACCCTGTGACCTCTACTGCTCCTGCTGATTCCTTCAATGGTATTTCAGAGAATCACAGTACCATCGTGTCTTGTTTATAACTGTTCTAACCACTGTAATCCATCCACTGATCTTGTTCTTCCTAACCACTGTTTTCTTACCATTTCAGTCTGGTGCTCTACAGTATTACCCTTAATGATGTAAACCAGTGTCTTTTAATTTCCTTTTAATTTTGCCATGGTGAAGCACTGCATGCCTCACATTCCAGCACAGTAGAGGCATTTCATGGTTTTCTCAGTAACTGTAGACTTCTACTGCTCAGATTCTCATGTTTGTTAATTCTGTGGGTACTCTGTGTATGTGTGTATAATTGCACATATATTTGACAGTTCTAATGGACGTGCACAGGTGCTGCTGAGGAAAATTTCAGTTGCACAGTAAGAAAATGTGTTATGAAGATCATGTTTCATCAAAACAGCCCTGTTTTTCCATCTCAAGGGCCTTCTTCTGCAGTATTTTATGAACAAATAAATTTGGTATAAACAGCCATGTTACGTTTTCAGCCTCCTGAAATGAATTTTGGCCAAACTGGTATTTGTAACAAACTCAAGTGGTTGACATTGTTTAAGCAATCATGTTTTATATTGTTCAGTTATCTTTTTTTCTGCAGGGTTTTATTTGTGGTTTGTTGAGGCTTTAAAATTATTATTCCCATAAAAGGACTCTGAAGTAGATGAGTCCTCCAAAATTATAAATGGATTGCATATAGAATTTCTGATTTTGATTGCAAATGTACTTGGCGTTTTGAAAAGAAAACACAGCCTGTGCTTTTGAGAAGTAGGTTCCTTCTGTCCCTCACGGGAGGAGTTAAGCTTGGCTATTGCTCCTGCAGAATTTATAGTAAGTGTTGTTCTGCCCTATGATCTCACAAAACTATTATTTCTGTGCAAACAGATTCAATTTTTTACTAATTGTTGTTCATGTGCAAATGTATTTGCCTGTGCAACTGATGTTTTGCAGCATACCAGCATTATGTGTGCTTTTTAAAAAAACAAAGGTAGTGAATGGTATTGTTTACTGTAGTAATGGAGGCAAATCTTGGAAGCTTGTCCATCTATTATCAGATGGACATAATAGGGAATGCAGTAACTTAAAAGGTGTGGAGTTAGGGCCACATACATGTCTCTAGCTGAAAGTATTTTTGGTTTTGAAAGAAATAAAATTCAAACGTAAGGGACAAAGCATTTGTGCTTTTAGCTTCTGAGTATCAGATAGTGATCGTCATGTACTAGTACTCTGTAGTAATACCTGAGTAACATTTCTCTTTCATTCAGTTGAATAAATGCCAACGTAGGAAACGGATATTGCGCTCAAACAGACTTTGTCAAATGGTATTTCAGAAGAGCAGAGGTCTATTTTTTTTAATTTTAATTCTTCATGAGCACAAAAAGATAAAGCCAAATGGCTTTATCAGTCATTAAAACAGTGAGGTCTCATACAGATGCACAAATGTTGGTTATTTCATTTTCTTATTAGAGTAATATCTGATATGAACCTCAGCTCTTCCAGACTGAAGTTAGAGGGGAGGGGGAATGAAGATGAATTCAGAACTATCATGTGTGCAGTTTGTTTTCTTTGGGTAGCTTCATGCTCGTGCTGGTATTGAGTGTCTTGTATCAGAATAGCTTCACTCGTTCAGACGTGATATACAATTATTTATTAGTGTCAGTGTGAAAAATAGGCTGTTGTGAAACTGGAACGTTAAATTCACAAGCAGAAAAGTTGCATGCTAAAGCATGTGTTGTGTCATAGAGTGCTGGTCCTCAGCAGTCAGAAAGAGCTCATCTCATGCCAGTTCAGTTCTATGATCAGTGCAAGGGCCACAAATGTACAAGAGTACAAATGCAAGGTTAATTTTTGGAGTTTATTAACACTGTGGTGTGAATACAAATATCTTCAATGCATTTCTCTGCAGCATGTGACAAACTTTCAGCTTCTACAATGAATCTGCCAAAGCAAATGGAGTCTCCAATCAGTAAACGCCTCTCGTCCTCCACAGCGGCCATAACGCATTCCCCCGACAGAGGCAAGTGAACACGCTGGTCTCCTGCCAGCATAAACTCTCCTTCTGCTTACAGCACTTCTGTCCATAGGGCTTTGTGGTTTGCTTGTGTCTGTTATTCAAAGGAATTCAAACATCTGAGAGGTTCTGTATTAGTAACATGGTTCTGCAGCCTGTCCCAAGGCTGTGCTGCTGTGCTGGAGATCATAGTCCAGCAACAAATGCTGTGGGTTTTTTACTGATTATTTTCCAAGTTTTGATACTTAAGCAAACAGGGTTGTAAAGGCTGTGACTACAGCAATTTCCTATAACTGTGCTGGTTGTGACCTTCTGGAAAAATAAGAAAAAGAAAGCAAACCAAAGGGGTGGTCTGGCAGTAGATATGGGATGTTCCATAGGCAGAGGCTCATCTCCGAGATGAGTCACCTGGGACATTTCAATCTGGTGACCAGAGTTGTAGAGCCTGCTAATTTCTTATGAAACTGATCCTCAAGAGACTCTGCAAAAGATATCATCTTGTAGGATTAGTGGTTGCTAAACACTACAAAGAGGACTGAAGGGTTTATCTCACTGTGAATTCCTTGGATTTTTAGGTTTATTTTGTGTTTGCTTTTTTTCCTTCTACCCCACTTTTTTAGAAGTCTAATGAGAAAAAATATATGTTTACTGAAATAAATTACTATGAAGGCTTGTTTCTAGAATGAAAAAGAGAAGGTAAAATTATTTTAATTTTTGAATTGCTTAAGTTCATCAGTAGCTTTGAGGTTATTGTGACAGATGGCTATATATACATGTAATAGGAACATCTATAAATATGTCTTATAGAGTTGACACTTATATTTATGGAGTAGGAAGTAATGCAGGCATATTGTATAAATAAGACTTACGTAACGTGGTGAGATGGCAGATTTCAAATGCAGTCCTAGCACGGGTGGCACAGCAGTGAGCAGCTGCACTGTGCTACCAAGTGTTTTACCTTTCTTACTGGGGAAGGAGACACACTTTTTTCGTGCTGACTCATGAAAGCGGCCATTTTGCAGAATGGAACATGTCTCTGAGTAAAAACAAAATACAACATGATCTTAACCTTAATGTGTATAATGTATAAGTGGGAAACTTAAAACAATGGAGAAATTAGAAGGTTTTTTTCAGAGGGAATGAAAATTATCCTCAAGTATTTTAAATCTCAAAAACTTCAGGATTTTTTTGTCATTTCATTAATCATTTCATCATTTTGTTTCCGTTATTTTAATGTAACACTCTTTTATTTCTTTGCATTTTTAATTTTATTTTATTTGCTCCCATCCTTCAGCTCACCGCATGCATCTTAGTCCAATGGAAAACTTTATTGTTTCTCGACTGCTGACTCCCACACAGTCATCTTTAGCCAGAAGCAGAAGTACATTAATGCTTTCTGAGCAGTACAATACTCCAGGTAAAAATGTGACTTCCTCACTTTAAACCATTGAGGTATGATTTTAGCTACATTTATGTAGCTGCTGGAAGAAATGGAGTACTATGAAACAAATGACAATTTACAGGATAGTACAAAATCAATGATGAACAAGTTGTTTCAGATAGAAATGTATTTAAAATCTTTGAAAAGCACGTTATCTTGTCTGTGCTGTTCTGAGTATCTGTTTTAGGAAAAAAAACATTAAAACTGCAGACTGTAAAAAAAAAAGAAGATACTCATTTAAGAAACAGGTTTTTCTACAAGGATGTGACAACTCTCAGAGGCTTTGATTGATTTATTAATGTCAGCCCTGTCATACCCGAATAGTATGTAGAACAAAAATCCCAGTGCACTACCAAGTCTTAATTATTTTTACCAGGGTTCCAGTTTCTATCTGTTAAATATCTTTTTGCCTTTAACTGTGTGACTGTGTGTATGTGACGCCTATATATGTATATAGGTGTACATACACATATGAAAAAACAGAATAATGATAGGAAGGTGTTAGTTCCAGAAATTATTGATCTTTAAGGGATGATAGTTACCATTCCTATGTGTAAAGGGTATACTAACAAAACCATTATTTTGCAAACATCTACAAAAATAATGTTTCCAGTCCTGCTAATACTTAGGCAAGTGCCTGACTTTGAGTAGTTTCTGCTTATAAAGCCATACCTGGTCATAGCATTGGCTGAAACAAGCCCTTTTTACTTTTAATAGAACAAACAAAAAAACTGCCCCAAAGCACACACCTAAATGCCTGTCTGCAAAAGGAAACACTTTTCCAGGGAAACACTTTTCCAGGATTAAACTATCTTCATGATGAATGTTTTCACACATGTTGGTTAAAATAGGCTTAAATTCTGCATCTGTGCTTTTCATGCAAAGCTATTTTAAAACGAATTGCTAAGTAAACCTACTTTCCCTTGTGTGTTACTTCTCTGTTCAGTGCATAGGGACACTGTATTGAATGCCTCTAAAATTGCTTCCCTTGTTTCTACATTAAAAACAGCCTCTACTGGAAGCAGCAATGTTTTCAATATAGTACTTGAGAAAGTTCCCAGTTTGCTTACTGCTCAGGGACCAACTACTGCCAAGAGCGAGCAAACCCCAACTCAAATTTAGATCAGTACATTCTGCTTAAGATTTTGAGCTGAATTGCTGCAGCCACGTATGGATGATTTTTTCTGACTTGTATTTGATATGAAAGAAATCAAAAAGGATGACTTTTGTCCTTCCCTCACTAATTTTGATTGTAAACTCTCAGGTTTATCTCTCTTCATCACAGGATCTTTAAAGGAACACACTGGCATGTCTGATAAGGGTACAATTTGTTCTGCAAACTGCTTTTTCATTGAGCTGAAACAGGGTAGCTGATTTTGGGAACAGTTTTTTGAGCATCTTCTTGTCATTTCCCCACAAGGCAATCAGGCTGTAGCACAGGTTGCAAATAATCTCAGAGGCCATTGACATTTTGTCACTAATTGCCAGCAAAATAGTTGAGGGAGATCTCCCATTTGTCATGTACTTCTCACATAGAAGTAGCTTTGTGAACAGGGATCTTCCTTTACAAGAGCTCATACTGTGCCTCCTGTCATTATGCTGGGGTCAAAATTTGCTCTGCTACTGCATTTTCTGTAAGCTTAGAAATGAGGAGCCTCAGTTTCAGACTCTACAGCAACACATTATTAAGGTCACTCAAAGTCAAGGTATTAAGACAAACAGTTGTTACTGGATGCACAGTTAATTCTTTTAATAGTGGAAGCGAAAATATTTATTTTAGGCAGTTTTTAAATTTCTGAACGTTTTTGTTAATATACAGTGACCTTATGCCAGTTGGCTGGAAAGTGGACCAAAGAATACAAAGGTCCAATTGAACTTCAAAGCATTCAAAAAGGCTTCATAAAAATTTTATTAGGGCTGCCTCCAATAAAAAATGTTCGAATGTGACTTTATTTACAATAGTGCATAATTACTGCTTTTTCAAAGTCAATAGTCAATATCCCTCCTGACTTTGGTTGACTAAAATTGGAAACACTCTATCACTTGATTGCAATTAGTGTCTGTCTTGTTGATAAAACATATACTCTGTTGATTGTTCTGTATGTATGTGAAAGTTTCATCTTAGAAGTCAATATGAACAAAATCAGGAATAAAATATCCCACTTTAAAAAAAATCTTGTTCATATTGCAAATAAAAAAGGTTGCCCTGTAAGCTGTTAAACCATGTGTCACACTCAAATTGATGTCTCCCTCAAATAACAATAACTGAAATACCTACAGCAGCATTTAGTTTAGGTATGGGGGATTTTTTTTGTTAGTTTTTCTGATTAAATATCATTTGGGAAAGTAATTAACATATTTAGGAGCCTTTGCATGTTTAGGCTTTAAAAAAGATAAAACTCCCTGTGCTTCTGTCACCTTTCCTGTTTTGCAGTATGTGTTCAAAGGTCACCTAACTAGCATTATCTGCTTACTCTTTTTATCATATGCTGGACTTCTAAGAAGAAAAAAGAGTGACAGTATTAGGTGATTCAAAACATATATGAGTAAAAGAGCAATGTTTAGAGAACTTCTTCCTATAAAATGTTTCAGTTGAAACATTTTAATAAACATGGAATCATGTTGAATTCTTTATATGTGATATTTTAAAGCACTAAAAAACACTTTAAAACTACCTTTGAATGTTATAACATAAAAGTATGCTGTTTTCTCCCCTCCTTTACTTCCTCTATCTGTGCTCCTTTTTGCTCTTGCTATTGTACTATAACTCTTTAGTATTCCATATCTGTCCTCGTGTAGCACCAGCTAGTCCTCTTAAATCTCCCTACAAGCCTTCCCCCACCCGAAGCACTGACAGGAAGAAGGCAACTTCACCGAACTCCACTGCCAATGCCATGAAAGGGGCACCTGCAGCTGAAGTTACTCAGGTGAGTTTGTAATGGTTTTGGTTTCACTGCTGGGTAAACTGATGCAGCTTCTGCTTGTTATCTTTCCCTTTACATGAATACAAATGAAGTGCTTCCCCGCTATACGAAACAGCAGTAGAGAAGTAATCCCTGCCAACACCTGTTCCCTTTGTGCTCCTGTTAAGGAGCATTTTAATATCTTCTTCCTCCTGGGAATCAGTGTTGAGTGCTGGTATTGGAACACCAACACCCCTGTTTTCAGAGAACTGAGGCACTGAAGTGTTTGTTTTTGGACTTGCTTGTAACTTCTGGGAATGGGGATGACAAATATAATTCCCCCCTAAGTATGAGCATCCAGTCTTGCTCATTAATGAGCAAGCTTCATATATTTCAGAAACTCCCCAAGTGTATTGATAATGCCTCTGTTTTACAGCAATTGCTTTAACTCTTTCTGTGGACATTTTTAATGCTGCTTGCTTAAAAGATGCATTATCGATCCACTGTAGTTTCCAGAAAAGAAAAGGCAAGTCACTCATTTCACTGAATCTACAAAGTTTAAGGCATGCTTTAAAAAAATTCTGTGTTAGGGCTATAATACTCACATAAGGTCCTGTATCTAGTAATATTTAATGATAGGGGGATTTATGCCATTTAAATTAGCTGCAAGTGAGAGAAGCGTCAGTTTTAGGTATGATTCAGTGTTACATGCAGTAACATTCCTGTGACATGCCTGTTTGCACTGCTGATCATGTCTAAGCAGGGGCATATGGATGATTTTGAAGATACCACCCAGTGCCACCACCTTTCCCAAGCACTCTTGCAGAGGCTCTGATGCATAGTACTTCTCTGAAATTTGCATGCTCTGCTCATGTAAGACAGGAGTGGGTGTGTGCTATGTCTATGTAAAATAAACAACTATTAATAGCGTCTCAATTGTGAGCTGCTGTTTAAAAAGCTTCTACAAGTGTGCCACACAAATCTCTTTATATGCCTTCTTGCTAATAAAACAATCAAATGCATTTTTGATTTATTGATCCTAATTATGGAAATTAAAACAAACTGTGTTTCTAGACTGAGAAGATAAAGAAGGAGAAGCGACCTGCAACACCTGGTTCATCATCTGGCATGGGATCTCCTCTGAGAAGGTCTGATTCTCCTGCTGCCATGTCCAGAAGATCTGCATCACCTGCAACACCTAAGTATGCTTTTCTTATTAGTGGGCTAATATCCTGTGAATTTCTCATTATCTGTAAATAAGGCATAGATTCTTGAGGATCTTCCTTTGAAGTGTTGTATAAAATCTAGTTAATACAGATGGGTGAAAGGAGAGGTGTAGATGACAAATCTGTTATCTGTAATATTGTATTAGTACCCACTAGAGATAATTCTCTCTACTTTTCCTCAGTCTTGAGATTACAGTGCATTTCATTATTCATATGAAATTTTACTTCACTTTTTTTTTTTAATGCTTTTTTGTTGTTTGATTTTGAAGAAACTGCCTAATGTGAAGAAATGCACTCATCATGAATACTAACTAGAAATTCCAGCATTTAATATATGCATTTCCTACTGTTGTCATGACCATCTGGTGCCATAAATACACTTAACTATGTGTCATCTAAACCATTGATTTTAACCTTTGCTCATTTGCAGACCTCTGTGGTTTTGTTGCCTTTTTTTTTTTTTTTAATGCAGAGCTGTGGATCTATAGCATATCTGGGCTTAATGGTGTCATAACATAACATTGGCAACTGACTTGCTTCCCTTGATTGTCTTCTGCTGAAAACTGTATAATGTGTACCACAGCTTGAAACTCAAGTCTCAGCAAATGGTTCTCCAGGTTTCTTAGAATGGAATATTAAGTCTGGCTCTAATGTAGGAGTATGCTAAAGTAGTCCTGGTCTACAGTACTGCCTAATTTATTTGGCTGGTTGATTGGTTTGGGATTTTTCCCCTAGACCCTGTTTGTGGGTGCTACTTCTGTCTTGAAAATTCTTATTTATTTACCTTTTTTAATCTGAAGCTGGCTGTATTTTGAACCAGGCTTGATGATCAAATTTCTGACAAATTTCTTCTGCCTAAAAAACCAGCTGGTGTTTCTTTTCTGTTTCAGCTCTGAGGGCATAGCCCTTTAGAGGGGGATGATCTTGTGTATGAATCTGATGTTAGACAACATAAGGAAACCATCTGACTCTTGGTATTCTTTCTGGTTTAAGCATCCCCTTGCATGTAACTGGGACACTGCAGTTCTTAGTTTGTATTATAAGGCTACAAATTCTCAAACCACCAATATTATATATTTGATATCATCAGATTCTGTGGTATGAATTACATCCATTTTGTGAAAAATTAAATTAAATGCAATATTAATGGCAATCAGCTTTCTTATTACAATTCTGAGCAGATCATTGCCTATGACACCTTGTAATGTAAAGTAAAACAAAAGTTTGAGCTCTAAGACTGTATATTATTCTGCAAGTACTGATACTCCCTGCTCAGAATGCATTTTTCAGTTTGATCAGCCAGTATAAGAGACAAACCAAGAAACACACCAAGAGACACATTTAGTTAAGCAAAATGATTGGTGGGAAATGAATCAGCTGAGAGTCAAGTGCTTCTTGCTGGGCAGATGGAGGTCAGTGTGGACCATAAGAGAAACGTTCAGTGGTTAAAAGAATAAGTTGGGAGACAGCTCTTTAGTGCTTCAGGAAAAAGGTATGCCCAGTCTTAATGTGTAGCACTAATTTCCATAAAAGATTAGGAAATGATGGAGAATGTTTTTCCCAGAGGTGCAAATTATGATAACCTTTGTACAGTAAAATGTTTTCATGCCTATAAGGAATATGGTTTTCAGAAGAAGCAGCAGATGCTGCATGGAGGAATTAAGAAGCCTACTGGTGGGTTTCTCTGTGATTGTGAGCCACAGTAGTGATCCCTCTTTTTTCCCCCCCTCCTTCTCTTTCTCAAGGGAATCTGATTCTGACCATGGCTAGAAATGTTATTACCCAGCATTTAATCTTAACATGGCCCAATTAGAACACCCTTCTTGACCTTATGAGAGATACAGTAAATAGAGTTTAAATCCATGTTTATTACTGATTGCAGAGAGTTCTGCTTCAGCACTTTTAAAACTTCCCCTCATAATTCTAAAACAAAAAAGTGCCCTAATGACCAGATTGTATTATTATATATAGATGATAATAGTGATAATATATGCATTTTTTCATACAACTCAAATTCCACTGTTAATTTTCATTGAGGAGATAAGATTATACAATCTAAAGAAAGGTTCCAAAAGCCTTACTGCCTGTATTTAAATCCACTGACCAGCAAGATCATTATCTGACATTTAAGTTTCATTTTAGTGTGACTAAATATGCATACAATTACTCATTCTCCTTGCAAACCTAATGATCTTTTACACATTTAATCTTTCTCCTTCTAGTACACTCTATGACTGAAAAAAATATCTTGGAAGAAATAAGAATACATATTGTACAGCATTAGTAGTTAGTGATCCTGCATAGCACCTTAACCTCTAAAGCTGCTGGAGAAAGAATCAAGTGTGGCCAATTATTTACATGACAATTAGCTGTATGCATTTATTTTCTGAAGAATATGTGACTTGGCATTCAAGTTTTCGTGGTATTGTTCTAGTTACTTGTTCTTCACAGTTGTCATCTTGGTTTCTAAATGGCAGTAACTTTTCTTCTTAATATGTTATTTCATTATTTATTAAATAAAAAGCTCTTTTTATCATGGTAAAGTAACTGAAACAGGATCAAACAAGAAAATAAAACTTCAGCCTAAAGAGACACAATGAATAATGGCAGAAGAGACTTGCAGTAATTACATAAATAAAATACTAATCTTTTGAATGGGCAAATTTTGCTGAGAAAGCAAAAAAGGTCAGCCCAAAAACATAACAGCTGAGACAAGTGAACAGATATAGATATAAAAAGGAGAGAAGGGGAAAAATAAATACATGCTGAACAACAATTAAAAGCAGGGAAGGAATTCAAAACTTGATGTTATTTGGAAAAGTAAATATATCAAAAAATGTCATAGGAAGAAATCTGAAACTATTGTTTTGAATCTAAATGTGTATCAGCTGACTAAGATGAAAGTTAATGGATTAGAGAGTTTGAACAATTGAGAAATTGTCTTTAATTTTTTTCAATTGCTATTGGATGCTAATGGTGTAAAGTGCTCACTTTCTTTAGATCTTTCACAAGATCAATAATAACAGGATGAGGGGTTTGGGTAATTTTTTGTTTTATGCTTCATCTTTGAAGATCTATACATTAATCAGTTTATTCTTCCAGTATACCCCAGAGAATAAGTAAGTGTGCTTTCTTATAGATCAGGAAGGCAATAAAGCCTGTGTCCTTCACATGTCTTTGGGTAAATAGTCCCTAAATAAATCAATGGCACTTGACTGAATCAAGGAAGTAGGGTTTAGTTGTGAGTGTCTTCAGATGAACCGTAGCATAAGCCAGTGAATAAAAATCGAAAGCTCTGACAAACCTCTGTGTCACATTCTTTTGCCAAAGCATAACCCCATGAGAGAAGGAGAAAGGGGGAAGGGCAAGGTGACTGATGAGTGGTGGTCCATGTTTCCTTTCCAGATCCCAGGCTGGGCATTGTCCTTTGCTCACGGTTTCACTAACTGAACCCCTCACCTGGTTCTATTGGGTGACAGCCCCCTGTAGTCTGGGGGAAATACTTTTGATGTCAGAAATGTGCATGTTCAGTCAAACTGTAGAATACTGATGGAATATGAACATAGACTAGTACAAAAAATGCCCTCCAAATTCGTAAAATATTTTAAAATTAGTTATTGGAAAGGTGTCTGCATGTGGTGAATTCCCCACAGAAGTAGCTTCTGTCCTGCAGTGACCCATTTTAGATTTTTTTAGTATGTGCTACATTTACTGCTCTTGGTTTTTGTTTTGATTTGGAAAGATAAAACAATGGCTAGGATCAATGTTGGATCGAGAGTATTTTGAGGTATTTTTCAGCAGTTAGCTAGATAACAGGCCAGGTCACCAATTTGAAACATCTGTAATAATGCAGCTATTCAAAAAACTATTCTACAGACCTATGCTGAGTTTCTTCTCTTTTAAGAAATGTAAAAGATAAATGAATCTTTTTGGCTACAAAAGATCAAAACTAAGAGTGAAAAAAACTGTTTTTGAGAAAGTGTCACAATGCAAAGATGTCAGAACCCAGAAATAGCTTGTGATCAGAGCAATGTTAGAAAGCAGGCTTGAGAACATGCAGGTCCTCCGTGTGTTTGCAGCAGAGTTTTTGTTGAATTAATGGAGAGAAAGTGGAAAAATAATGCAGCTCTGGCATTGCTGAAGAGTTCTGATTTAAAATCAGCCTTGTGAACAGCTGTAACCAGTGACCTGCCATGACTTTTCAGGAGAGCATGCTGTTCATGGCCAGAGCTGGGTGTGACCTCTGATTTGTGTGCTACATGTGCTTTATTTTCTCTGCTTGGCAAAAGCAAGCTCAGAACCCCTCATATGCTTTTCCTGAGACATTTTTCTGCAGAATGGATTATCCCTTTTGTAATTACATAGGAGCCATTGTAATTAAGAATCAGTGGATCCTCACACCTGATAGATGTTCTAGCAGTGCATGTAGGGGGCAGCTTCTTTCATGTTGTCCCCATGTCACCTCAGGGCAGTTAGGTGAGAAAACAAATGTCTTCTTGGAGAGAGGAAGGTGCTTCTATATTCCCCTGTAAAATCCAGTTACTGAGAATTAGCAAATTGTCTGACAACTGACATGCTACCACTTCTTGAATTTTAGTAATTTGCCATCTTAATTCTCTAATCCTTATCAGGCATAATTCTGTTTCCCACTTTCTTATCATGGTTTAAACCTAAACAGGCTCTTATACAAGTGATTGTAATTTTTTTTTCTTAATAATTCCCTTTTTCTGCCTTTTCAATCAAGTTTGGCTCTTTATGGTATTAAGCAGCATAACTTAAATACTATTTAGAAGGAGTGTTTTTTCCAATAATAATTCTGCCTCTGTCAAGGAATGTTAGAGCTGCTAAGTTGAGAGTATGTTTTAAACACAAGGGAGAAAACAATGTTGATTTAATACTTTCTACTGGCATCCAGTAAATTATATAAAAATTCTGAAAAAATATTCCTGATGGACTTTCTCAGCTTCGCACTCCACACACTGCACTGTTCTCATCCTTGCAGTAATCAGTCTTTTCTATTTTTATCACTTTTAGCCACTTTATATGAAACTCTACTATTTTCTTGTTGTTTTTGTCTAAGAGCCTATAGCAGTTTTGGTAAAAAAAAATTACTGTAGGTATAAAAGTTCAAAGATGCAGTACCTGAATAATACATTCAGAACATGTTTGTAATCCACCAGCTGAGTTGTGCAGCCAGTCTGCTCCAATGCCTATGCAGTGCAAGATATGTGGCTCTTATGACTAGACTCCTTCCTACCGACCTCTTTGATTGTCATGTCTTTATGAGAGAACAATTACTTCTCTACTAATACTGAGAATGACTCAGCCTTACTTATTAGCCTATTTTGCTCCTTCTGTCACAACAAGTGACATCAAAAGCATTGCAAGGAGCGTGTGGTACAATTGGAAGTGTGAACCAAAGACAGTGAGAAGGGAGTCTGCTTTGAAGAAGTGTCTAATTAGCAAGAAGCAACGTCTGTGCTGCAGAAAAACATGGGAAAAATGTTTTCTCTTTATTTATATTTTTATGAAATGCAGTTGGAAGTGACTGCAATGATGAGGCACATGTGAGATGTACACGTGTAGGGGGGCCTTGAAATCTGCCTTTGCTTTCAGAAGGACCTGAAATCCATCTATATCCTAAAGAGGAATCTAAGACAATGCTAAAAACAGATTTAGTCAACACAACCAAACTCATTGGCTTCTCCCATTGCTTTTTTTTTTTTTTTTCCAATAAATCAATCAGACTTGCCTGTTCACAATTTCCAAAGCCTGTTTTTGTCATGGAGCAGCAGGAGTTGTGGGTGGCAGCAGGACAGACCTGGGTAGGGATCTTGCCCACAGCACCCCATCCCATAGCAAGCAAAAGAAGTGACCAGGGTCAACTAAGAGCCCTGCCAACAAAAGCCTTACTGAGGCAAGTCCAAGGACAAGCCAGGACATCAAGTCAGGATCAGCAGGTTAGGAAGCCAAGAAGAACAGGCTTACCTAGAGCTGAGCTCAGCCAAGGACCAAGGGTGAGGACCTGAACTGACAAGGGAGCTCCTGGTCCTGCCGGCTGGGGGCACCTGAGGTGAACTTCAAATTTAATTGGGTGCTACTGTTCCTGCAGCCTGAGGCTTTTGGAGTCTGTGGTGGCTCTTCAGTGGGAGAAAGTAAGTAGGGATGGTGCAATACTCTGCAGTGTTTACCTCCCCACGAACCAGGCAGCTCTGAGTGAGCTCCTTGTATTCTAATGTCTCAACCTCTTTCAAATGCAGTCTAATATGGTAGAAAATAACCCTTTTTTCTACTAAATTTGTGAGTTTGGGGAGGAGTTGAAAGATGTGTTATTTTTATTTTCTGCTCTGTAATGCAAATGCGGTTCTGGTTATAATGGTCTCTGATCACACAATACTATAGTTAGATCTATACAAAACTTGCCACTCCAGTCCATTAATTTTCAGTTGTTGTTCATGTTTTTCTTGCTTGTGGTCTGCCAGAATGAGTGTATAGTCCAGAAAGCATGTTATAGTATATGAAACTCTATATTGTGTAGATGAAAAAAGTGATAAGGGATAATACATTTATATAATAATTGCATATCCGGGAAGAAGGTTAGAAATACATGTGTAATGTTCACTTTAATGTAAGATAATTTATTCTAATGAGACTCACATAAATCATTATTTTAAGATTGTAATCTCTTTATTCTTATATTACTTAGTCACACATCCCAGCCTTTCTTAACGTTACAAGTGCTAGTTACTGGTGTTACATAAATAATGAATGGTGTTTGTGTGTAGTTTTATGTTTCCTGGTAATCTGTTCTCTTTGTGTGCACCAATTTTCAATGAATATCAGATATCTTTACCCTTCCACTTTCCCAGAACTGACTTCAGGGTTATCACTTCACCTGAAGTGTGCAACAGCCAGATGAGCAGTGGGCTGCATTGCTGCTGTGCATTGCCATCACAAGTGCAGCTGGTGAAAGGCTGCAGGCGCTGAGTTTGGAGTCTGGAGTCTGTTGTGTTCATGCTGAAAAAAACACTAACTCAAACAGGTGTTGCTGACAATATAATGGTTTGGTTAGTTCTGTTTCTTTCTGTAGTACCCAGCCTGACCTTTGTGTATACTGGTATTTGGTGCTTTTGTGGAAAATCAGATACTATTAGAAAAAGACCATGGCTGGAAAGGTGTTATTCAGATGAAAGCAGCACTCTGTAGCTCATTATAATTCCGACAGAAAGCGAGCAGTCATAGCTTTTCATAGTTTACATGTTGAGAAGGACTGTAGAAATAGTAAAGTTGCTGGAATTATTTTGAAATAGTCATGACTAAAATAATTGGTTTAGGTAGTCCACAATTTCCTGTATCTCACCTAGACCTTAGACAGTGTTATTGGTTTATTTTAATGAGAATTTTCTGTAATTGTGTGCACATCCTTGTCATTTCTATGCATTTTAAGTTCTGATTGTATCCAGGTGGTTCTTATCAGTATTGTGCAAAACAGCTGATACTTCTCTGTAGCCAGAGACAAGAAAGAATGAGAAATGTGAAGGTGGAATTTGATTCCAAGCTGTGTAACGTCTGGCCTTTTTTGATTTTTGTTTTCCCTCATCAGGACAGTTGCAAAGACATATCCTCAGTCTCCTAAAAACACCAAACAATATCCAGCTTCTCCTGTAAAGCATCGTGCCACTTCCAATCTCAGCCAGGAAACACCTAAAAAGAAAGCAGACAAGGAGAAAGAAAATGCCAGTCACCTGAAATCCCCAGGAGCACGGGCTGATGATGTGGGCCAGGTGGCTCCTGAGAAGCACGTGCCTTCTGCTGGAAAGGCCGAGAACAGTGAAGGTGAGCCTTACTGCAAGGTGTTAGTGCAAGATACCATGGGTCCCTGAGACTTTTAAACAGTCATGAGCTGTTCTTCTCATGAAGCTGCTCAGTCATAGGCTTTTGAGAATGTGTAAAAATACCTACTGGAACCTGTGAATAGACTTTTCACTCATGTACCAAAAGCACTTGTTAATGAGGATATAAAAATGCTGACATCCAGGGATGCCCTTAAATATTCTATCTTCTTTATGCTGAAAAGGCTGAAGTGTGCTTATAAAAAGGTGTCTTACCACTCTGAACAAGGCCAATTTCAGCCTCTGTACGAACCTGGAATTGCTGGACACTCTCTTTGATCTCTGCCTGACTTTCCACCCTTCATTGTCTTCTCCTAGGGAAGATCACAGCAGGAACAAGTGATGCAGAAGAAGCTGCAAAAATTCTAGCTGAAAAAAGACGACAGGCCCGCCTGCAAAAAGAACAAGAGGAAAAGGAGAGACAGGAAAGAGAAGAAAGAGAAAGGTCTCTCTATTGCTTTGTGAAAGTTATTACCTAATAATTTAACCTGTATCCCTGAAGATGCTTGAAACTGTGGTAGTTTTGGAATCAAGTGGGAGCTTATATGTATTTGTTAATTTCTTTAATTTCAGACTCACATTTCATTAATGTCTTTTGCAGTCTCTTTGATTAGTGAAGGTAGAAAATAATAATTTGGCCTCTTCAAGAACCCTGAATAAACTCTTACTTTTCCAAATATTTCAAGCATGTCTATGCTGAAGTGCACAATGCAGTCTGGACATACCTGAAGTATTTTATATTGTAAAAAAATATTTGAGGTGGTTTTAAATGAGCATGTAGCAGAAAATAGTCTTGCAGCAGAAGGATTTGCATTAAATGGTAAAGCTTGAATCATTCATAATTAAGCTGAAGTTCATCTTCCTGCCCAACTCTGCTGCAGGCATTGAGCAGGCTTTGAGGGCAGAGTGAAGGTTGCTGTGTGTGAGCAGTGAAGTTCTGGCTCTGTTCTGGGAACAGGCTTTGAGGTGGTTACAACATGGAATGCTGTTTGCAAGTGTCAGCAAACCATGCACTTCCTTCAACCCTCTAATAGTAAATCACTAATTCTGCATGTCAAGATTCAACTTTGAGTTTTCTTATTAAAAACACAGTGGATGGAGTGGGAGTGGAATGACCTACCACTTACAAAACACTTCTTAAGGAGCATGATGTCCCTCAGTGGGCCAGGGAACAACACAGATGGAATTTAGACCCACTCCTTCCAGTGTTCCAGTGTGTTTTGTGGAATTTGTTGCTAGTCATTCCACCTGTTCAGATGAAGGAAAGGATAAGAGAACTTGCTTGTTTATAGATACCAGCATTCTGGGTGTCAAATACAGGGGAAGGGGGTTGTCTTTGTTCTTGAAACTTAATTTTATTATTGACACTCTAATTGAAATTACAACAGAAATGTTTTCTTTGATCACACATGTTTTTCAATGGAAATTATAACTTCTATGAAATATTTTAGGCATTAAAAGCAAGATTGGAGTAAAAGCTTGATAGCAACCTGAATTCTGAGCATGTGCTCAATGTCTTCACTGTATCCTGCCATCTTTCATGAAAATATGTGCTGATGCATGTGTTATCAGTTACTGATGTACATACAATAGGATTCATGCTAAACAAGATGAAGCCTTTTAAACCTTCTGTTACATTTTTTGCAGGCTTGAAAGAGAAGAGCAGAAAAGAAAGGCAGAAGAAGAAAGACTTCGTCTGGAAGAAGAAGCTCGTAAAAAGGAGGAGGAAAGAAAACGTGAAGAAGAGGTAGCTAGAAAAAAGGCAGAAGAGGAAGCCAGGAGAAGAGCCCAGGAAGAACAAATGCTAAAGGAAAAGCAAGAAAAAGAGCTCCAAGCCAAACTTGAGAAACAGGTATCATTTCAAACAAAAATGTGAAATTTTTATACATGTACAAAAATACTTCTTAATACTTAATACTTGGTAGTCTGCCTGAAATAAATAATGGCCTGTCGAGATTTTCATGGGTCTGGGTCTTCAGAGAGACAAGAACAGTTGTCAGTTGCTGTAAAGTTGTTTATTGCATGAATACATCAGTCTTGAAGGCAAAGAGTTGAGAGTATTAAAGTCTAAAAGCTTATGGCATAGAGTCCCGAGCAGAAGCAGCAGCAACAGCAGCTTCCACACCTTTCTTCTTCCTCCTGTTCTTCCTCTCTCACCCCAATACAGGGAATTTTATTCATAAATCACCTAATCAGCTAAAGCCACGATTCTAAAACATTCTTCCTACACTTATCAGAGCTCAATTCTAAAGTACAAAAGTAGTGTCAGTCCTTACACATAATTTACACATATAGTTCTATCTATTCATGTAAGTGGTTCTATCTGTTTTATCTAGAAATGCAAGCAATGTTCTGCTATGTTTTCATTATGTCTGGAGCTAAGTTACTGAACTTTAAACTAGGCTTTAGAGCTTTTTACTCTCTTAAGGCACTTAAAGTATATTCCTACTTAAAACTAAAACTTACATTTCTACTTCATATCTGTGTGGCTTAATATATTTTAATTTCCCTAAAGGCTTAAATTCAATCCCTGCATTCTTTTCTCTCTCTGAGGGACTCAGAGAGGCTTCTATTTTATACACTCCAACAATGGCCCTAACATATTTTACACGTTTTGATTAGAGGGAAGAAGCAGAAATCAAAGCCCGTGAAGCAGCTGAACAGCTTCGTCTTGAAAGGGAACAAATCATGCAGCAAATTGAGCAAGAAAGGCTGGAGCGGAAGAAGGTGGGTATTTGCATCTCAGGATAATGATTTCATTTCTTGTTTAAATACATAACCCAGGAAGCATCCAGTAGTATCTGCTAACAATAATCTGGAGGGATTAGAGGTGAATAGTTACAGAAAATTTAGTATGTGTTACTTGCTTGTTAGGGGAACATGGACATCAAAATTTATAACAAAGTGGAATTGCCTGAGGCAAATGCCTTTCTACAAGGCACCGAGCAAACAGAGAGGCAGCCTCTACTTGAAAAGTTAAATGCCTGAGACAAACAAGGAATGGCATGACAAGGCAAATGTCAGTTGCTGCCCAGCCCAGGACATCACTAACTACTTAGAAACAGTGACTTTGTTTAAAGCTTACTCAACAAAAGCTCTGTGTCATTAATTGAGAAAGTTTGTGATTAACGAACAGCTTTTCCCCCACCTGGCTGTCTCTGGTTGCCTTATGCAGAGGAGCAGGATTGTCTGGCCACTGGTGCTGTGCACAGAAATGGCTGAAGCTGCATAAATTAGCTTTGTTCACAGCTGTGTGGCAGGAAAGAGAACAGCTGCAGAGTCCCTGTCTGGTTACAAAAGGTCATCTATCCATATATGTTATTCCAATATGTTTTAAACTGCTCACCACTGAACTGGAAGCATGTTGCAGTTGCAGATTAGAATATCAAACCAAAGTGTTTACATCTCAAATAATTGCCTTTTTAATGAAGAAAGAAGGAAAACAAGTGTTTTAGGATAATGCCTTACACGTTTCCAGCAAGAAAAACTTCAGATATTTCATTTTGCTCTTCTATTTTAAAAATGCTAACTATTTTTAAAGGAACTGTTTGGAAATAGTTGGAAAAGAAACTAGATTAAAATAACCACTGTTTGTTTTAAACAAATGCCTTGTTCCAGAACTGAGCATAACTTATAGCTCCAAACACTTTGTACTAAAATACTTGTTTCTAAAGTACATCTACTGAGAAAATCATATTCTCTAAGATCTGATAGGTTAAAGCCAACTTCAAGATGTTTTCTATCTTTAATTTTCTTATTTGTTCTCCCTTTTCTGAGATAGGCAGGGAGGATGTAATGACAGTAAAGAAAAGGTTCTTTGTCCTTTTTTCCCCTGTCTCTTGTGTTACATATTCTGTCTGCCATCTCATCTTCAAATTTATTTTGATTTATAGAGAATAGATGAAATAATGAAGAGAACAAGGAAGAGTGAAACCCCAGAAATAAAGGTATGAAACAGTATGTGGTTACAGAATTTTTGTTTTGTTTTATTATCATATGTGGAAATTAAATTCTAGGGTAGTACCATGTTAGTAAGTGTACTTAGGTACACTCTAGACCCAAATTTTAGATGCATTTCAAACTGAGAGTGACTATTGCTGTGTCACAGTCACTGCTACAGAGACACAGCTTTTATGCAGCCTTTGCAGGTAGGATCATTGTCCCCCTCACTACCTAGCAAAGGGCAGCAGCCCATTTCTGCATGCTGGAGTTGCAATGTTTGCTGCTATTGATGTATCTTCCTGCTTTGTACCAGCCAGTGAATTAGTTACTGAGCTCTCTTTGTTATGCCTGTCAGGAATGTGAGTTTGAAAAGAAGGCAATTGTGTCCAGCTAAGAAGTGACAGGTTTTAATTTCTAATCTCCTAAGGAAATTGTTTGTTCAGTTACTTTCAGAGAATATTTTCTTTTTTAATTTCAAAAAGTGCTATGCCTAACTAAAAAGGAAAAAACGTCTTGTCTTGCTGTTGGTCTTTTGTCACCCTATGGCCCTGGGAAGTCTCACAAGTTTTGAGTCCAATCAGTTCCATGAAGGTTACAGTCTTCCCTCTAATACAGCTGAGTCATTACTTGATTTCAGAAGGAAGAGCCAAAACTGGAGATCCCATCAACTCTGAATGTGGAAAAGCAACCAAAGACCCTTGTTCTCAACCAGCCAGGTAAAAAGTGCCATATTTTTCTGACCTATTTTCACAGTTGAATCTCTTCAGATTTTTTTGATCTGAGGCAGAGCACTGTGTATTATCATAAGTTTCTTGCTTTCATCTCAAAAAGAACAGCTGCATTTGCATCAGTGACAAATGTTAGAAACTGGAGTCAGCTTTGCTTTGCCACCTAAGCAAAAGCAGAATAAAGTTTCTCCTCCATTTTAGTACCTGATGTAGCATTTTTGTAAATGAAAAGTTCTAATCTGCCAATATGTTTGATTGCTGCAACCTACCTTTAAATTTTGTAGGTGGAAAATTCTTGCATACAGCCAAGCTTTTTATAGTATGACTCTAAATCTTACATTTAATTTGACATCATAAAAAAATATGTATTTAAAGGACTATTAAATAAAATGCACATATCTGACATTTATCTATATTTTGTTTACTTCTCCAGGCTAAGGTTTTTAGTACATGACATAAAAGATAAAACATTCTCTTCCTGTTTCCTCCAATTTAAAAGATGTATCATAGGGCAGTTTTGGAGTGGAATAGAGGGATGACAGTGTAGTATGATGAGTAATGGATTAAACAGAGTCTACTGCATTGTCAGTGTTCCTTTCTACCCAATCTATAACTTAAAACTGTTTAAATAACAAAGTTTCTACTGTCATCATTTCTAACATTCTTTTGTAGAGATCAATGGATTGGCAACCTGCCTGAAAAATAAAAGCTTAGAAAGTGCTGCTTCTGTAATCCCTTCCCAAGATGTAGTTGCCAATGGACTGAAGTCAGTTTCGGGACTTATTCAGCTGGAAGCTGTTGATGGGAAATCTAACAGCATGGAAGATTCAACAGATGAGGTTCAGTCCATGGATGTGAGGTACAGACTGGATGTACCAACAGGGTTGTGGAATTCATATGAGACACGGGATTTTGGCTTTTGTTTGTTAATACTCTACTACTTTCCTTCTCACGTCCCCCCAGGGTGGCAGCTGGGTGTGCACTGGGCGTGTGTTCTGATCCTGCCAGGAGGCTCCTGCCTGTTTGACACAAGAGCCACGGAACCTTATCTCACTCTCACATATTTGGGGGAGGGAACTCTGAAATCCTTCCACAGTCCTTACTTACAGATTCCATCCAAGTTTGCCCAAACCTTTCAGATAGTTTTGTGAAATCAGCTACTGCACATATTGTTCTGATGTCACCATTTTTTCATCGGGCTGCATAGCTGTGGTGTGTGAGCATTTCTGCTTCCATACAAACAAAATAAAGAAAATAATGGATTTAGAATTTTAATTACTTAACAAATAGAAATGTATGGAAATCAGTAAAAAACTTTGCGGTTCTAAATACTCTCACATTTTGATAGAAGTATGTGCAGAAAAGAAGGATTTTTAATTTTAAGTTTTTTAATTTACATATTTATATATGTAATATATAAATATAATAGGCAATTCATTTAAGGCTGCTAAGTCGAAGCTACATCTGAATTTTTATACTGTTCTCCCTTAATCAGTAAGCCTCTCATAATGTCTCAGTATTTCCAGCAAATATGCATAAATATATAGAAAATGCCTTGCTGAGACTGACCAAAAGACTTTGTAGCCCATTATTTGCTCTCGGAGAGGATCAATAAGAAAAACTAGTGAGGGAGAGCACCAGAGCCTGCAATCCAAGACCACTGAAGTGTAACCTTAGGGATATTAAGGGTGCAAGTTTGCCTTGGCCACTGATTGACATGTTGTCCATGAATTTATCCAACTTTTTTTTTTTTTACCAGCTGACATTTGTGTCTAGGACCTTGCCTGAAAGCAGTCTGTACAGTACAGTCTCACTGGGTAGATTATGTTCTTTGATCCCTGTTAAACCCACTTTCTTATTGGTGGCATTGGACACCCCTTAAATTTTGTGTTGTAAGATTTCATGCACGTTAGGTTTGCCCTCAACTCATCCATCATGGTTTTAGAAATGTCTGTGAAAGGCTTCTTCTGCCTTCTGTTCTCCAAACTACAATGCACTAGCCTTGCTAGTCTCAGTAAAGCAGCTGATTGTAGCATTTCTTAAGTTTAATTATGGGATTTCTATGTCTGACCTTATGCCCTACTTACACATTCTAAAACTACTGTCCACACGATCACACATTACTTGATTGGTGCTGCTCTCTTGTCCATGCACTTTGCAGGAGATATGATTGGTTACAGTCCAGTGCTCCACTGCCCACCTTTATCTTGGTTCTTGCAATCTTGGTATTCTGTTTTTCAGCTTCTTCTTTCCCAATTTAGCACAATTTATGTTTCAGTAGCCTTGACGAATTCCAGAGTGTTTGATAAAAACAGCTAAAAATAGCTTGGCTGGTGCACCTGGTATAAACTATGGCCTGGGCTGTTCAAATACATTGCTACAATAAGGTCTTAAGAAATAACTTTTTATTTTAGTTTTGAAATGTATGTGCTTTGAGTAAGTGTTTGCAGGATCAGGACAGTAATATGAAAGATGCAATAAACATTTAGGTAAAGGAGTGGTGCAGGGACTGAAATAATGTTTGGTAAACTCAGTTCAGTAAACAGGTTTAGGAGATGATCGCTCATGTCACACAGCTACCACAAACCTTAATCATTAAGGGATATAGGTTAGGTATGACCTTCCATCCTGAACATGGCGATATCTTTTTCCTTTGGATTAGAACATTGTCTAGGTAAAAACTTGCTGCAGCTGCCTTAAGATGAGTGGTAGTTTCTGAACAGTCAGAGGTTTAATTTGATTGTTGCTTAATGAAGTTAAACACCTCTTTTTCTGTGTCTTTTTATCTTTTGTATAGCCCGGCTTCAAAAGAAGAACTTATCTCTATCCCTGAATATTCACCCATGAATGAACTCATGCCAGGGGTTTCTTTGGACCAAAATGGGACGAGTAATGCCAAGGCTCTTGAAGACCTCTTGGATTTCACAGGCCAAGCTACCTACTCCAAGATGTCCAGTGATACCCTTAGCCTAGATGACTGTAACAAAAACTTGATTGAGGGATTTAACAGCCCGGGACAGGAAAATACACTTAATTCTATCTGTTGACAGCCTCGCTTTTCAGCAGAACAGATACAGGTACAGTATTGTGATAAACATCTTAGGTATGATAAATTGCTGTGATTGCTTGCTAGCTTCCCAGAATATTGCAGCAGTTGTACACAGCAGTGTGGAGAGAGAAAGAAAGCTGTTCTCCTAGGTATTTAAATTCAATATAATCTTTGAGATTTGCAGCTGCCTGTGAATTGGCATCATATGCAAACTGACTGTATCATAGCAACCACAAGTATCTGGGAAATAGAAACATTTCCTTTAGGCATCCAGAATTTCTTCATTAATACAATACCTTTCCTGTATATCTTTGGAGCCTATTTGCATGAAGAAAATAGTTAAAAGTGGGGCCAGTCTAGGCCATGATAGTTATTGCTGCTGTTTACTCTTTTCTGCTGCTCTAAAACTTGCAGTGTAGAATCACATACTCTAAAAAGCCAGCATAGTAAAAACCTATAGTAGGCTTCAGTGAGAGTTTCAAAGTATAAAGCCATAGTCAGGTTTTTTGGAAGAGCATATTCTCTAAATTACAAAACTGAGGTCATCTAACTTGTGTAGCTGACTTGATATTCTTCTCTCTCTTTTTAATTGACAGAGATAACAGTTTCTGGAGGATATATATCCCTGTGATGCTACTGGCAGTAAAATATGAGCTTGTCACTTGAAAAAGCTTCTGCAGTCCTTGAACACTGGATTTCAAATAATCAGAGCTGAATATAACTTGTCTTCCCAGGGAATATGTTGAATAACTGGCTGCTTTTGGTAGAAACCAATGATCTAGAGCCTTGATGTTTCAGGGAAGACAGAGCGTGCATTAGAATTTGAGCTTTAGCTGCTAATAAAGCACTTATTTCTTCTTTAATTTAAAATTCATCTCAACACTTCACTGTGATTTTTACCTGTGCATTTTATTTTTAAATAATTCTTTCCTAGGATTGATCATACATCCATTTAGACATCTTTTTCTTGTAAATAATGATGGAGTTTGCCCACAGTGCATTGAAACAAAATAATATACTGTACTTTAGTTTTGTGCCTATCTTTTTTTGTCTTCAATAAGGAGTTATTGGCAACTTTTATGAGGTGTGTAATTCAAAACTGTAGCTGAAGAGGCTTGAAAAACATATAGCTGCTGGAATCAAAAGAGCCTTTTATTGACTGTGGAGTGTGGGAACTATCCCTTTATGATGATGTTGACACTTTTAGTCACTAGTGGCACTTACTGGTTAATATTAATTAGTCTGGGAGCAACTGTCGACTGTGTTTAAAATCATATTTGTGTAACACTTGTAAGCAAAGTAGGCAAAATGCCAAGTGCAACCCCTTAATATAAATGTAGTATAGCTGTAGTAGAGCCAAGTGAGTGATCAGGAGGGTGACACATTAACCTTTGAATATGCAGACACTTGATTGATACCAGCAGGCTTTCTATCACACAGAGAAGTATTTTGTCTTCCTGTAGGCTCAATAAAATGGGATTTGGTCAGCAGCAAAACAATATGTGAGTGTCAGAAACACAAAGGCCAAAATGCATGCCAGGAACACTGGGGGCCCTTAACGTTCTGTAAACATCTGTGTGGAACAGTCCACATCACGGTGTACAAGGTCAGGGCATCATGTGCCATACAGTGTTAACTTTATTTCTGTTGGTGAACCTTTATGCTAGATCAAGTGCTGCTTTGAGGACATTTTGTCCCGTCCCTTATAATAATAAATTATAAATACAACTCTCTTTGGACACTAACACAAAAGACATGAAAACTTGGTGGGGAGGGGTTTGTTTCTCTCTCTCTTTTTTTTTTTTTTTTCCACATGTAAGAGTTCACAGCATAGATTGACCAGAGTTGTAGCACCATTCTTGTGCTCTTAAAAGTCAGCAGTGGGAAAGTAACCAGTGACATGATGTACAATGCCTAAAAAAATCATACCTACAACAATCCAGCTCTATTTATGTTAGTGTACTTCAAAGAAATACTTTCTTTTGACTGTGCAGTAAGCTGTAGCATGGTACTGTGTCTTCCAAATTAGTCCTTCATCTATTTCCTAAATAATAAACAAACAAACAGTTTGTTTTGCTGTAATACATTGTGTTTGACAAATGTCATATTATATTTTATTATGGTGTCATTGTATAACCTGTAGATTTCTGTATTTGCATGACCTGTATAGCATGTATAAAGGTGAAATACATTTTCATTTATGAATCTGACTTGTTTCTTAGCACCTTTTATTCCCACAACGATATGACATTTAAAAATATATATGTTAATTTGTTCTGAGGTATTTTCTGATGAAGGGTATAATACTGAATGAAGGAGTTGTTGTCAAAACCTCAGAATATTTCACATTGTTCCAACTGCCATATATTCATTTGCTTTCTGAGGTCCTGCCAGTACACTGAGGAAGTGCAGGCTGGTGGCCAAAGAGCCTTAAGGTGAGGGCTCCAAATTGTGGCATCCAAAGGGCTGGTGACAGTATAGGGGCCAGTTTGCAGCCCCAGCCTCTGCTCTCTGGCAAAGAAAATAGGCAAAAGAGAATTTGAGCGTTGTAGTAAGTGGACATTGTTCTGTTTAGTGTGCAAGAGCTGTTCTGTAAGAGCACCTGTGACATAAATGCTGAACTTCTCTTCAAGCTGTGTGTACACACTGCTGCTTGGAAAGTGACCAGCCTGGAGCTGCTGTTAGTTGTCTAGTGAAATGCTATGGGGAAACTTTATATATTTTTTTAAGTCATCACTTCAGTCAAAATTGCAAATGAGAATCTGGTTTTGTGATGAAGTATATTAATACTTTCTATGGTGACAGTTAATTTCATTTGTATTGACTCCTGAAACGTTCATGTTATTTGTCCACTCGATTATTTACTAAGATTGAAGGAAACAAGATGAGAATTTGTGAAGAAATTGCAGATTTACCTTTAGCTTTCAAATGTAACTTTTCAAGTTTGGCTGAGTATCTGGAGTAGGTAGTCCCAGCTGAGGAGTTAAATTAATTCTTTTTGCTTTTGATGATGTAACTTCTTCATAGCAGCACCATCCCAGTGTTTGCTGCTGTGAATCAAGACTGTGCAATAAGCTTTAATTTCAATTTGTCAGTGGTCTTGCAACTGCAGCGAATGATCACTAGTGATTCACACAAGTCCTTGACAGAGCTTTTCTGCTGTTATTTTATATAACTATTAGTAAGTTTCTAAAAGATAAATAACACCTGTGAGGTAATTGGGCATCACAGTAGCTTTCTAATTAGGTTCAGCACTTTCCATGGTGTTACCCTGGGAAATGGCATCGAGAGCTTGCCTTAGATCACTGTGAAGGTTCTGAGCAGACCTCTTGTCTCCCCAAGGAGTTAATTTCAAAATAAAATTGCATCGATGAGGGGTGGATCTGGATCCCCACGTTGTATTTTCATCTGGTGATGAACAGCTAGAAGCAGGGGGAATCATCCTCTCTCCTTTAATTGTACAAATGAGATGTGTGCAGAAAGCTGCATAAATAGCACAGATTGCTACTCTGGCTGGAAGGGTGAGGATCTTCCCTCTGGCATAAAGAGAGCAGTACCTTTCCCTGCTTCCCACCCCTCCTCAGTCCCAGCTTGACAGCATCTACAACTGAGGTGCCTCTGCCACCACCCTGCTCCTGTTCCAGGCATTGTCAGTGTGGCACTGCAGCTCTTCTGCTGCCCAAGGGAGCGCAGTGCCCAAGGTTCAGCATTGATCACACTTCTTGGAGAAGCCTGAGATCTGAGGATAACTGGGCTTCAGTGCTGCACAGCAGCCTGGAAACCCTAGAAGGAGACATCCTTCCCATTAAGGTTTAAACTGTATTAAAATGTAGGTAGTTCAATATTCAAGAGCTGAAATCGAGACATTGAGGTTTATATCTTGCTTTCTCTCAGCCTGCCCTGTGCCCTGCACAAGAGGAGACTGTCCTGTAAGCAGCACAAATGAATCGGTGGTAATATGTTGTCCCTTTTCCTGATTTAGTGACCTGTGGGAGACCTGTGGGACTTCTGCCTTACTTCTTTTCTCCCTCCCTATTCAAGAACAAGGTGCAAATTGAAAAAAGTCTCTTCATTTGTTTTCATTTCAGGATAATGTTGTTCAGGCTGTTGGTTGCCTCCAAAACCAGCATGAAGAGTGGTGGTTCCACCTATGCTGACACTGTTTATGGGTGCACAAAGAGGCCTAAAGGGCAGTTATCTGACACTGGGGATGCTGATTTTCAGTATCAATATTAAATTCGGAAAAGTGTATTATTACTGCTTAGCCACTATGCTATAATCTGGAAAATACATTGTATATTGTTACTGAATGCAATTTTCTCTGGATTTTCTTTTTGATCTTCAGTAAAGCAGGTTTAAAATGCAATCTCTCCAGACTATATACACTTAAAAATAACAGAAAATTTAAAATGTTCAGATGCATTTTTGTTATTGCTGTTTGTGCAATAATAGCGGTCCAGAACACTGTGAGCCACAATGTTCATTTCTCCCCTACTTTTTTATCACATCAATCATCTATGTTATCCATGTGATGTCCTACAGCTGAAGAGTAGGTGATGCTGTTCACTCCAATTTAACATGTCTGTTGAAGCCTTTGACGTGGAAAAGTCCTTAAAACTGCAGGCAGAAACTCTAAGAGAAATTATATTTAAGCTTTTAAAACGATTACCTAAAGTATAAGAAAATGGTTTCTTGATCGCCGGAATTTTAGATTGTTTTCTTCCCAGTAGCCTTGTTTACTCTGCAGCTTGTATATATTTTATAGCATTTTGATTATTCAAGACTGAGCTTAGTAATGTTTTTAAACTAGCAGGTTTGATGATTACCTGAGGCCTGCAATTTTCAGGATCAAAATAGAGGCTCTGGAAGATAGTATGTCATGTTCACTTGGGAGCTTTATGAAAATAGATGTGCATCCTTTCTATAATCAAGCCTCAATGATTTCCAGAGAAAAACCAACTATGATGCAGGAGAGATCCAACTAAGAGGAAGAGCAGTAAGCAATGAACTGCATGCTCTAGAAAGTCCTTTCTCTAAGAATAAGTTTTTAAAATAGTTACATAAATAGCTTAATGCCTTGGGTTTTAGTTTTTATATTTTCAGCAGCTTTGCATATCACTTTAGATCTTGCTGTGCCTACAAGGAATAACTTGAAGTCCACTGCAATTGTAAGTGATTGACATTGTACAATAAAGGACTCAAGGACATAAAATTGCATAACTGAAGAAAAAAATTAATATGTGCAAGAGATATTCAGAATAAGGGAAATTACTGTCAGTTTCTTATGGTTTTTTTCTAGAAATAATAGCCCCTCTCACCAAATCCAGTAAGCAGCACAGCATGCAGGATCAGGGCAATACCTGTAACACCATATTAACATGCACACATGTCCCTTTTCAGAGTAACCTCTCTTTTAAAACACAGATGCAGCATTGTCTGAGATATCATTTTTAGCACCTTAAATATGCAAAGCTGTGGGGTTTATACCACTAAATTCTACGGAGTAACTTAATTTTCCTGGTGCGAAATCGCAATCAAGAATAATTCTCACTTTTTTTTATTTCTTAAACCTCTTATCAATTTAAATACAGAAATTAAAAATAATACAAATTCTGTCCATTGCCTGCTGAAATGGGCTTGTTTTCAGTTCCTAGACAAAGAGTGCCCACACCACAGCCGGCAGAGAAACAGAAATCCAAGGAGTCTTTCAAAGACTAATTGTATGCAGTAGTGTGTCAGGGACAGCACTGAAACCCTGCTGGCATGGGCAGCAGGTACAGTCCTGGTCGGACATGGCTAAAACTTCCCCAGCTGAAGACTGGGTCAGAAGTTCTTCCCTTTTGGCAAGCAACATTTGTATTTCTAACCTACAGTTTTACAAGGTTAATTTATGCCAATTTTCTTGGGCCAGTGTTGGGCTTTAGGGCAGGTGTCCTGTAGCAAATGAAACTGCTGGTGGATTTAGCAAATAAATGAGCTGATGAAAGGGTGGAGGTCACAGTCACTGAAGAATGCTAAGACACTGCACATATTTACTATCACATAATTACCATTAAAATTCCTAAGTCAAATCAGTATCAGTCATGCCTACAATGTTGTCTCAAGCTGGACATTTTGAAATTTTCTTTCTCCTCAGTCAGACTTTCATCCTGCTGTTTTTTTGTAATTTCTCCTGTCATCTTTCCAAGACCTGGCTCTTGCACAAGCAAACCATTGCAGCCTTTTTGTGCCTCTGCCTTCCTCCTCAAATTCACCTGCTGTGGCCTCTTGGATGATAAGCTCAAAGCCTTTGTTTATAAAATCCTCTTACTGCATTTATGTCACACATTTGGTATTAGTTCATACACTGAGATTGTTTTCACTGGTATTTTGCCAAAACTCTACCAAGTTCACACAGACTGTATGCCCAGCAGCAATGGCACATTTTCATGTGTTGTTACAGGAAAGTCACGATAACCTTATAAATAAAACACTGGCTTTGTTACGTCATGAGAGCCCAGGCTTGCTGGAGGCTCTCTTTGAAGAGTAATTTGGTGATGCTATCGGAGCCAAGTCATGCAGTTAGTCATCCTCTCACATTCCTTCAGGTTTTAATTAAATAATTACTTTCCAGCTTTCCTTAAATTTCAAGGCTAAAGAACGTAGGATATATTTCCTTAATGAAGGAGGGAGTCGATAACTGTTACTTTGAGCCTAGACTGAAAAAAGTATCACCGTTCCAAAGAAAACTGTTAAACAAAGTCCTTATGACTGAATTTGGGGGTTATTGCTTCATTCTGGAACAAATTCTTGTCTTGTCTGCATAAGGTATTACAGATTTGAAGTTCCTTTGACAAATAACCTCAGAAATTGACTTAAACCCCAGTGTCTAATTTTTTATAAATTAAGAGAGAGATCTGATGCTCCCTTTCTGGGGACTTAGAGGTTTAGCTAATTTTGTTCCACTGAATGATAGAAATATTTTTTATTACTACCATTAGAAGAAGCAAACGAGTAACATGCCTGCAAAGAATTTAGGCAGCTCATTCATTTCATAACAGGAGATGCACTTCGTGGTTTGGTGAAAGCATTTTGATAAAAAAGTGCCTGATTGCTCTAAGGGGTAGGGATGGGTGAGAGGAGGAAGAAGAAAGCATTAATGTGAAACTCCTTCAGAAGCAGAGATCCAAGTTAATGAAACCATGCAAATGTAATCAGGAGGCATAACAAG